ACATAGGCATGGGGACGCACGGAGAGTTAGTAGCGTTCAACAGAAACTATGATGACGTGCTCTTGCTAGATTCAGGTTTTGGAGTTTCAGAAAATGAATCAGCGATATCATTTCGTTATGATTCTATAGAAAATCAAACATTACCAAAGTCTAGTTCGGATGGGATTGGTGTGACGGATGATAAAATCATGACGAACTCGTGTGAATCTGATAAAACGTCCAAGTTAAATGATAACAATGATAGCTCTGGGGTTTTTCTCGATGCTGAGATTCGAGAAATTATCGAAAAAATAATTAACAATGTCGTTAATAATGAAGAAAAAATTGAGACAGCAGCAAATAGTGAATCCGAAATTTTCAAAACCGTTGTTAAAAGAGATGACGACCAACTCGTTAAACAAAGTTCATATCATGTCAAGTTTATGAATGAGAAAAGAAACGAAAAAGTCGATCAAAAAACTAAATTAACTTGCGACAGAGCTCTGGAAATTCTGGGGCTCTATAAAAATCAGAATGAAAATGACAGTAGTAAAATAAATAAAAATCCTTCAAAAACATCAATCAAATCGCTAGAACCATCTGATAAACTTGAATCCAAAACAAATCAGCTGAAGTCTATTCTGAAGTCATCGAGCAAAACAAATTTATCGCTAAGTAATCCCGATTTATTTAGAAACTCCGTTCGCGAGGACAGTGTAAACGAAGGGGAACTCCTTTCAAGAAACGACAACCCCCAATCTCATTTGAAACTTTCCGAGAAAGAAACTACTAGTAGGGGAAATCTTCCGGTAAGAAAACTATCAGCTCCTGTTTTTGCTTCAGATAATGAATTCAACGCCGAGGACAATTTCGAAAAAGAAATTAGTTTGGATGAAAGAGTGGAAAATTTGTTGAAAATGATAAACGAATGCGCACATGTAAGAAATAATGATAGCGCGAGCAGCAAACCAAACTATGAATCTTCGCCATTGAGTGGGTTGTCAGGTCTGAATAAGTTAACCCTCATGTTGCAGCAGTTGAGCAACGCCAGAGAGGACAACAGATACTTACGTAGCAAGTGCTCTTACTTGGAATTTAAATACAGACCTAACTACAGACGCAAATTCGGTGATAAGACGTATTTCGATCCGAATATCCACGGTAGAAGTGATTATTTGTTGGAATCACTTCTTCTAGAACATGACCAATTCCAAAACAAAACTTCAAGTTCGCAACAGAAACTTGACGTAAAAAGAACAAATACTGATCCAGAGAGTAACTTGAGAAGTGTAGATTTTACTCCGAAAACGGACACCAAGCGATCAAAAAAATTTCAAAGCAGATGGGAGCAAGTTAAAAAAGTTTTTACCTCCTCCCAAAAGAAAGACAATCCGCTCTTTAAAGACGTCCATTCGAGCAAATCTAAAATGTCCTCGGAAAGAAAATACAGCAAGAGTGGAAGCATCAAAATTGAAAACTTATGTATTCCGGAGGTTTATTTAACAACGGGAAAAGATGAAACTGAGATGGAATTTGGTCAGAAGGTTACTAAAACTGAATTCAAAGAAAAATTATCAACAGATGATGACTTGAGTTTAGATAAACAAAAACAAATACCACCCGCAAATGATGCGAAAGTTAAAAAACCTATTCACAAAGTTGAATTTCTGCTAGCCGATCCAGTTCAAGAGCAGAGCGGCGATGATTCTGAATTCGAAGTTGTGCACAAATTTAACGAAAATCTCGATTTTAAAATTCGCCATGCCGTTTCTCCTGATAATTCTTCCGTGATATCTTTTGAGGAGGTTAACATCAACTGCAATCCTGTGCAAACCATCGTGCCAGATCAACAAGCAGATAAGAAGAAAGTGCCTGAAAAACGAAACTCTGTCGTCAGTAACGCGAAGAGAAAAAGTCTCGAGGAGCATGAAAAACATTATTCGCACTCGAGTTTCAAAACAAAAGATCACGAAACTGAAGCACAAAGTTTGAAGAACGAGCGTGCAATAACATCAGAGCAGAAATCAAACTCATCAACAAACCTGTCACGGTCATTTTCGTCATCAGCCGGAAGAAAAACCTGGGAGAAAGTTAAAGGTTTTATTCACCCTAAAAAACACGATTCAAAAATAAAAAATAACTCAAAAAGTTTAGAAAAAATCACACCTAAAATCACAAAAGATCATAAAGAAAAATCTTATTCGTACTACGAAGTAAAACCAGATATCTTAACGAAATCAGCTAGTCGGTCTGTGGAAAACATTCAGCCAACGCCTCTCGCATCAGATCATCTCACTGGCTTTCCAGCCCCGCTTGCACGTTCGAGATCTGAGAGAATCAAACGATCTACAAACAAATTCAAGACAGCCGTTGCCAGATTTGCCTCGCCGAGTAGGTCGCGGAACAGCAAGGAAGGATCCTGGGAGAAATGCTCCCCGACCCGACATCGGGCGTCCTTCACTTCTTACATAGGCCTCTCGCCCGACCAATTCAAATACTTGGATTACGACAAATACTATCA